AATACCAAAAAAAAAAAAAAAAGAACTCAGTCTCTCCTGTCTTAACATTTTCTTTCCAAATAAATGTACTAATTTTGTGCTTGCATTTTTTTTTTAACACTTTGGGAAATGGCTTGGTTATTGGCACACAAGTGTTATCCACACAAATTATGGTCTTTTTTAAATAATTAATTATAGTATTTAGAAACATTAACTTATAATTTAATTTTAATATTTTAACTAATATTTACCTATTATTCTATAAGTTATAAATTAACAACTACAGTTATTAATTATTTATATCAATTAAATTAAATAGAATAAGTGTTTTTAAAGGCAATATTAAGAAGTTTTGTGACTATAACACATTTCTGTAAGGCAAAAACGATGCCCTTGTTTCCATATTAGTCTGAGTCATCTTGTGAAGCATTTGTTTGCAGGATGGTTGCAGAGTTTCACTTATATGAGTCTAATCTGTGGTTTAGCTGGGGATGTTTTGAGCTTTGACTGCACCAAAGTCAGTGACATGCTGCTGCCTAAGCCTTGCTCTGTGTGAGTCTCTGAACAACGTATCTTAGTGCTTTTTTGGGTTGTCTTCAAATATTTATTCTTAATTTATAAAATAATAATGCTAAATAATTTTAGAAGCTGAGGAATTTCATTAAATCAACTTAAGAAGGTTACATGAAAAAAACTCATTTATATACTAAATTTGCTTCATTATCGATCTACATAAATTTGGCTAGAAAACACTCATATTTTTGCTCTCTAAAAGTGGGATCCGTTGCTCTAGATTCACGTGATGGAAATAGCTACACCAAGGCCTGGTTTGGGGGATTTTATCTCTTGCAAGATTAGCCTAAGAAGTTACTCATAAAATTATTAACTTTTTCATATTTGTTCGGGAAGAAAGTTTTTAGTTTTTATCTCTCAAAAATGTGAGACAAACTTTCTTACTCATGACTTATTTGATTAGAAAGTTAATTTTATAAAAAAAAAATTGTTGGAAAAATAATTAAAAATATATTTTGTAAAAAATTAATAAGTGTTATATTTATAGAAAATTGATAAATTCTCTAGTAAAATTTTATTAGAATTTTTTTAGATTGATAACTTTTTTTTGTATTTAGTAAAAAAATTAGTAGAGAAAAAGTTAATAAAAAAATTATTAAATAAATCTTATATAAAAAAAGTTAGAAAAAAATTTTTTACTTTCAAAAAATGGGAAAAAAAAGTTGAAGGGTCTAGAATTTTTTTAGATTGATAACTTTTTTTTGTATTTAGTAAAAAAATTAGTAGAGAAAAAGTTAATAAAAAATTATTAAATAAATCTTATATAAAAAAAGTTAGAAAAAATTTTTTTACTTTCAAAAAATGGGAAAAAAAAGTTGAAGGGTCAAGAATTGTGTAAAAAAATAAC